ACCATTGCTCCAAACACTGAATATTTATTGCTGTATTAAAGCACCCCCCCCCCCCTCATGTTATAAACCAATTTGGCAAAGAACATTTAAATCATGACAACAATCATGATGAAGCGTTGTGGTTTTGCCTGGCAATCTCGCCTCTAATCTCCACTTCAGACCCCAACATCACGGCTCAATTGTTCATAATTGCCCTTAAGATGAACTATGGCACAAACATTAGGGGCATCCAATTCTCTGAATCCATCTTCCATTCCTTCTTATCAGTCAAGGGCACTTGGCGAACAGAAGTTATTGGCTTATTATCTATTTGCATTCTAAAAGTAAATCATCTCGTCCCTCCTTGCTTTTAAAACACTATTTTCGCATTCCTGCTTATTTCTCTCATTAAGAAGTAGCTGAAATGGCATAATGCAGTAAGAGGAAAAAAGCAGCTGATGACCTTACACCATGTTAGCTACGTATTCACCACATGAGAAATCTATGTGCAAGTTACCTGAGCATTAAAAAAGTATGACAGTTAACATGATTCACAAAAAAACTCTAGTATGTCAATATGAGTGGAAAGCAGAGTGGTGAGAAGCGAACCAGGAATTCAAAATATGCAGAGAAGATACAGAATTGACATAAATAACCTCATGCATATGGAAATCAACCTCTTGGTGGTGGGTTTTGCACTTTACATTTTCAGCATTTTGCTTAAACTCTTGTACATAACATCTCATACTGAAGCAGCAGGTGCTAAAGCATCACCTTATAGGGCTAGTTACTAAGTTAGTGTTAATTGCGAGCTAAGACGCTGACAAGTTAACCATCTGGGAACATCTAGTGCTAGTCAGCCACTTGAGCCCTCTATGAGTTTCCTTTGCATTTTGTCTCTATTGGGCCATTAGCTTTTCCTGGCATTTTTTCTTTGGGTTATACGTAATAAAAATATGAAATAATCATCTCCAAGCTAGCAATCTGCTTATAAATGCTTTCACATCTTTTATTTAAAAGACATTAGCAATTAAATGCCATCAATTACTGTCAAATAACTGCCTGCAAACCATTCATTTTCTGCGGGGGAGGTTTACTAAAAGTACGTGGTAGGTTCAACACAGCTTCTCCGTCAGCAAGAATTTGCTTTAGAGTTGACCAAAATTGAACTTTAAGTGAAACATTTATGTGGATTTGCTATTCACTGAACTATGTCATCAGGAGTGAATCTACTGATCACTGTCATTCCATTTAAATTAATCGCATTTGCCCAAAATGTTTGCCATTTCATATTTGTGAGCCGGCCTTTACAAATCTTAAGGCCGCTACACACCCACCTGAGACCAAAGAACGCGTACCGAAGGCGTCCCGACTTTTACGTCAGCCACGTCGCCTGCGTCGGCTACGCCGCCCGCCTACGAACACACCGCAAATACTTCAGTCGACGAGTGGCAATAACTGTCCTTACCAGCAGGCAGCGGTAGGGTGAACAGCCAATCAGAGTGATTGCTTGGGCCGACTTTCTCTGACCTCCCGCGGCCGATTCAACATGGGAGGTGTGAAAAGGTGCCGAAAGAGACGACGGTGCGGGACACACCAACCTGAGTAGGGCGCCGCGAATGCCCGACTGCCTCTGACGGCCTCTGACTCCCAAAATCGGGTTGGTGTGTAGCCAGCTTTACACAAGCAGAACAAATCTACATACACTGATCACATTTCTGATCTTCCTATTATAAACGTACTAGCTGACATACAGTATATGACATTGACAGCTGAATTGGCAAAACGTTTGGGTGATTTTCACCATGGACCAATATAACATTACCAGTGAAGTCTTGTAAAAAGGATGAAATTAGACAAGCTGATGACGAGTGGCACCTCTGAACCATCAGTCACAAATGCAAAGTGCACCATGTTGAAAAAAGGAAACTCTTTTCAAAAACGAAAGACCCATCGCAGATGCAACGTAGAACATTCTTAGTCTTCCCACTGTGTTGCGTGTTACTTCACAGACAAAAAGGCACAAACATGTAATAGCCAAATATCATCATTTTGACAATATTTTTAAACTGCCACCATCTTAACAGTAAATGTTACCATCTGGCTTTTTCCTCCAGTCAATATGTTGACTTTCAAGTGAGCATCTTCACATGTTATGCTTTCATTTATCAGCTCATAGCAGACAGGCTCTGCTTCAAATAAACAAAATGTTATCAATATTTGAAAAGAGCACATCCTCAGAAACCTCACCTACTGGATTTAAGATGTAGTTACATTGAGGTTACTTAGGCATCACAGAATCTTACAAGAAACTTAAGATCATAAAATAAATAGGCACTGAACTAATATATAAGTAAGAAGTCAATCTCTTAACCCTTTTCTCCTTAACTTTTGTTCCTATACAGCCTAGACAACCTTGTGCCATGTGCTGTCTCTGGTACATAAGTACAATATCATGATGCAAGATACCTTTAATCACCAGCCAGCAAAGAGTCTAGGCACACTCATGAATAACAAATACAAAGAGCATAGAAAACGCTACAAAGTGAGTAAGACCAACCATCCTACCCGTGATATGGCTTGTCATTTCCTTCTTTGGCCCTATTCTCTTTAGGAACACCCGGAGGCAGCTCCGCTCAGCTGTTACTCAAGCTGCTGTCCTGATGTAAGGTTTTGGCTTTGTAACTCTCCTGAAGTCCTTTACTGCTCTACTACCATGAGATGCTTAATCAACTTTAACAGGACAGAGCTTGCCTTTCAGCTGGACTCACAGTATTCAAAATTCACACTTTTGCATGCATTACGCGATGCATGATTTTCCTAAGTATCACAGATTAAGGGTCTATACAGAGAGGCATTTCCACAGAAGTTTTCCTCATTGAATGTTAGGTGCTATGATATGCTTTAAAGCTCAATCTGGCTGTGGGAAGTAACAAAGAAATCTTACTTGAAACATTTGTATTACCAGTTTAATTGGACATCAACACATTTCTCACAGCAGAAAACACAATCCTCTGTGTAATAAGTCAAAGATGAGCGTATTTTGACAAAAAAGTGCTACTTTAGACTTAATTTAGTCCACAATGTATTGCCTCTGTAAGAACATGACTCCACCTTACCAGGTCTCGACCTTTCACACCTTGAGAACCACTACCCTGTTGCAGTAATGTGTGTTAGAGGTGTGACTCACTCTCTGTGCTGAAGCTAGCTGATTACTGGAGAGCTGTTGCTATCTCTGGTGAGCTGCCCTCTATCTCCGTCCTCTGTCCCCGGACCATAAGCCTGGCCAGCAAACCATCAATCAGGAGGCCACAACAGGACCTCACGTAATCACAGCGGCATGTATGTTTGTGTGTGTGTCGTTGTAATGTGTGTTCCTGTGTGCATGCATGCATGTCTGTCTTACATTGATGAAAATAATCATCAATTGAAGCCCTTTTTCAGTCTACAAAATGTCAGAAAATAGTAATACTTTTGGAGATCAAAGTAATGTCTCCAAATTGCCTGTTTTGGCCAACCAGCATTCTTGAAAATCCAGCACTCATTTACATTTCTAAAGCTGCAACCAGCAAATGTTTTTCAATTTTTTCTTGAAGAATGACAAAAATGTTTACCATCAATTGCTTAAGTTGATATTTATGCCTACAAACAAGCAGAACATGCAGGCTGATACTGGTGGACCTGTGGCTGCCTCAGAGTGCAGGCTGATAGTCTACAGCTAAATCACAGAGGGAGAACGTTGTATGTCGGCAGGATAAAGCTGAGTGTCCTCTCACCTTTTCTGTCATCTTTAGAAAGGTAGAGGCTAGCTAGCAGTGACGGTTGCCTTCTTCAGTTCCAGTCTGTGGTAATAGATTGGCTCAAACCAAGGAAACTTGACAAAATAAAATCGTATTCTTTCATTTATCAGTAAGCAACAGACTATCAACAGGATAAGAGGGGACCCCACTTATTCACGGACATAAAAATGCTTTTGTATGTGTTGTCAGGTTCAAGGTTAGAAAATGTTATATTACAAAATGAAATGGTATATTTACATATCATATCTAGCAGAGCATTTCATTTGAGGTAATGATGTAAAAAGAGAGTGATTGGGTATATTGCCACAAGATCTACATAGGTGTTTTTGTTAAATAAACATAGTTTTTCCAAATGTTGAAAGAGGTAAATTAATTTATTCTAATGCACACATTTTAAAATATATCCTTGGCATGTGCATGCTTATAAAAGGTTTCTGTCAATGCAAAGCTGCACCATTGTTCAAATTCACTGGCTCCTACTGCAGGAGGTGTATTATTTGTCATCCCTGGCATTACAGAACAACAAAATGAGTGATCTTTTACCACTCGTAAAAAAAATGATACACATTGATACTAATAAAATTATGTGATGCTATTGCCCCTCTGTGGAGGTGGGTCAACAGATGATCCATTATCAGTGACTGATGGAGGTTGTAAAGAAAACAGAGCAAAGCCACCCTGCACCACTGAAATGCACACACTGTTTTAAAATCATTGTATTGCATATTTAGAAAGCAAGAGGACTTTACACTGTTAAACTGTTAATATGAATGCAATATTTGCAGGCCTATACACGATCCCAAGTTAGGCTAATTGAGCTGATTTGCGTGTCCTACTGCAAGGTGAAGCGCACTGGATGTAACGGAAAACACAAACAGCTCATTGTCTCCCGTTTCTAAATTGACTAAATAATGACCTCGGAATAATGATGACTGCGTTTTAATGATGATTATCACAAGCGGGAGGCTGTAAAATCCTCCAGTCGTGATTAAATGACAGCACGTCAGTTGCTCACTTCATATTGACTCGGAGTGCAAACGTTTATTACGAGCGTTCCAAATTACTATGTTTTCTTCAACACACCAGAACAAGCGGTCAGAAAAGAGACCCCGCAGGACGGCATGCAAATAGTACTATAGCCTGTTGGCCAACCAAAGCATGGCGACACTGTTGATATTAATATGCGAGAGCAAAGTGAGTGAGAGCAGAGCTCATGGGTACCTGTTCTTGCTGCTGAGCCGATTTCGACGTTACATTGCCTTCCTTAGCCGTGGTCATGATTTCCTACAGCAGGGGGAAAAAGTGTTTCACCGGCAGGAGAGAACAAAAATGCAAATACGGAAAGAAACACCGGTGCGGCAGAGAACCGGCAGGCACGAGAAGAAGACTGTATTCACGGCGCCTACAGGATGCGGTCAAGGTGTGAAATAACAAGTGGTGGAAGGACGCGCTGCTCAAGATAGGAAAACGCAAAATATTTTCAGTGGAAACGAATGAGAAGAGGAGGGGAGGAGACATCAGGGAGAGAGGGAGAGAGAGAGAGATTCAATATTACACAAGCGCGCGCACACACAAACACGTCACTCACTCACACACGCTTGGCCAAGGGGGGCTACGTGTTGCAGATTGGGGGATATCAATTAAAAAAAATTAAAGGTCCCATGTCATGGCCATTTCTACTGATCATAATTCCATTGTTGAGGTATACTAAAATACATTTATATTGTGCAATTTTCCTAACTCACATTGGTTTCTCATACAGCATCTCTGTATGTGGGGCACCAGGCTATGGCTGGAGCCCAGGCTGAGTTCTGCGCTGTCTCGCTGTCTCGCCGTCTCGCCGACCCCACACGAGTGGGCCAGCTCACAGTGTCCCGCTCCTCGCAGCAGCGAGCCTCGCAACGTCCCGCCGAGTGTGTGTGTGTGAAGAAGTCAGCGGATTGGTCCAAACGTAACGGCTCGGCGGACGTAACGTCACTATACCTGAAATAGTCACTATACCCAAGAAGTAAACAATGGAAAAAGAGAAATCCCCAACGAGGCGTTCTGGGGCAGCATAGACAGGTATTTTCTGTGTTAGAGTTTTACTCGCTACAGGGTGTACTTTGAGGGTTTGTGACTCTGCAGACCGTTTACATGCATAAAAAGCTACATAACATACAAGGGGACGGGTAATAACCAGAAAAGCATGACATGGGACCTTTAAAATGAAATGCTGAAACTTTAATGCTGAATTAATGTGTTCAAATATTCATTTGCACCCAGGATGACTTTCCCTCACTTATTTCAATCATTTAGGCCACATTGTTACATGCATATTGATGATTCTTAGTTTTAACAAATTCCCTGCAAATTAAAAGGTCCATATTAATTCATTTGTCAAAGAAAATGCTATGGTAAAGCTGCTGGTGAACTTGGCAACTAGACATCTGTAAGTTACAATCTTGCTGTGATTAAAAACAAAACACGAGTGTCATCCTGCACTGTTGAGTTGTTAATGAAACTGAAACCTTAAGTATATTGTACCAGGATAACATGTTACATATAGCTGGAGCAAAAGTCCTAACACTGAGTCAGTAGTGAGATTTTTTGGAAATTATATTTAATAAATGAGCTTTACAAAACCTAAGACTCTGAGTATGAAGTAGCTGCAATAAAATGCAACTTGTTAGGACTGACGCAAAAACTGTTTTTAATAATGTGCACTCAGTCTGAGAATTAAACTACATTTTTGAGACTGGAATATACAGTAATACGCATATTCAGTTTACTATCATGTTACATTTCACGATAAGAACCAGAACCTTTCATGGGCTTGTTCAATTAATCACATCTACACTAAGTGGTTTACAATCCCTATTTCACACGGCAAGGAAATTACTTTAATTTGTTCTAAGATTATGTTAATTAATACCTTAGTCTTCAGTTTGACTCTTTATATTGCAGGTGAGCAACCCAATGTGCTGCACCGTTAATTAAAACAGGTGGCAGCTCGGTAAAGTAAATTCCCCTGGAATCCTGAGTGAGAGTCTGCAGTGTTGCTATATGTGGCTGGCAGAGCACAGCAGGTAGATATCCTTCAAAAAGCTAGCCCTCAAAGGTTACATTTCACTGTTGGATCTACTTTTGTTAGTTACTTCTCTAAATGTGTATTAAAATGTTTCGAAAGTCTCCAAACATCTCTGTTTTTAGGTTCAGGGAACTACTGTATATCAATAACAACAGAATATGAAATGTCCTACTTGAGTAAATTAAGAGCTGAATTGGAGTAACACCTGTATTTGTTCCATGCTTGCTTGGATAACAAGACCAAACATCTTCAGCTGGGCTTGTTACTCTGTGCGGATTCTTAAATTATCACTCTGCTATGAGATGAAGCTCAAATTTGAATGTTCACATAATCAAAATGACAATGTTAATAGGCTGATATTCTGCAGGTATAGGTTGTTTACTATGTTTACCATCATATTTTAGCATTAATTCGAATTAGGCACTTTTGGTTGCATACACCAAAGTACAATTGTGCAGTAATAATTACCCTAGATGAAAAAGCTAAGTGATCAACAAGATTGTACTAATCATCCTGAAGAAAAGATGAATAACCTTAACAGATCAAATAATCCAATAGTTGTTGAGACAGTTCATCGAAAATCTAAATTACATTAGAGGAAGGCATTGTCTTGTGGGAAAGATTAATTTCTGTAAAAAACTTAAATAAAATGTATGACAAGAGGAATGAGAGACAACATTTTTTAAACGAGTAGCATGGCTAATAACTAATTGAAAAGGTCTTAAAGGAGACATGTCATGGCCATTTCCACTGATCATAAATCCATGGTTGAGGTCTACTAGAATAGATTTATATTGTGCAATTTTCCAAACTCACATTGGTTTCTCATACAGCATCTCTGTAAACTACGTGTATTCACTGAATTTCACTCTCTGCCTTTAACGCAGCGTTTCTCAAAGTGTGGGGGGAGAGATGTGATAGGTGGGTCGCGAATGAACGTGATGAACGGGAGATTTAAAAAAAAAAAAAAATGTTTTAATTAATTCTTTGGACCTCTGGCCGGAATCGAACCTGGGTCCTTGCAGGCGGTAGTGGACTGTTACAGCCGGAGACTCGCAACGGCTGTGGACTTTCACAGCGCCGCTGCGCCGGACACGCCGGAGCCACAACGGCGGGTGTTTGCGGCGGCGGGTGCGGTACCGGCGCAGCGGCGCTGTGAAAGTCCACGTCCCACCTATGCCAGAGCCAGCGGCCCACCGAAGGCAGCAGCCCACCGGGAAAAGTCCCGAATCTCCCGATGGCCAATCCGAGCTTGCTCACACACACACAACTGAAATCAAAATCATTTACAGACATAGGCCTATGTAAAAATCTCATACACCATGTGAATCGCTCTCACACACACACACAACAGCGTTGCAGTCGGGAAGAAAAGCAATGTGGAGCGGCACCTCACCACTTCATAAGGAGTTTAACCGTGACACTTTTCGAAATCCCGTTTGTGTCCACGTTACAAATAGGTCTATGTTTATTATTATTTGTTAACGCAAGCCGTCATCGCCACGGAGGAGCACACAGCCTCTGTGAGCGAGCGAGCGAGAGAGAGAGAGAGAGAGAGAGAGAGAGAGACAGACAGACAGACAGACAGACAGACAGAGAGAGAGAGACAGAGAGAGAGAGAGAGAGAGAGAGAGAGAGAGAGAGAGAGAGAGAGAGAGAGAGAGACAGAGAGAGAGAGAGACAGAGACAGAGAGAGAGAGAGAGCGAGAGAGCACACCTTTATCTATTTAATATAGCCTGATTGTAAAAAATAAAGTAAGAAATCATTCCAATGTCTACTATAGGACAGTAAAAAATAACAAAAACAGTTTAAAAGGGGAGTGATTAGTAAAATATGCATAAATAAAAAGAAAGAATGCTAACTAGGTAACATAAGATAAGAATAAACAAGTTTAAATTATTTGTTATTGGTTGTGAGATAATAATAATAAAATTATAAAATGCAATAACGTGCTTTAACCAGTAAGTGTCCCTTTCTATCAGCTGTGCACGGTTATGGCGTAAATACAGCCTATCTACCAATTGGATCAAATATAAAAGTCAGCCGAATTAGTGTTGACACTGCAAGGAGACGTATTGTGTGAATAGAAATGTAAGATGTTGTTTAATTGTTGTTTAATCCACGTCAAGTTTTCAGTTTTGGCGGCAGTTCCTGTTTGTCTAGAAGTCTTCTCATCAGGGCTCTATAAATAGAGTTAACTACGGCAGATATGTAATATTTAATGCAGCCGAAACGTGTATTACAATGCCGTTATGTGATGACTTTCAAAGAGAAAAGCAAGCACACTCGGAATAATGTATTATTCCTTTTTTTTTAAATGTTTTCAGATTGCACATCGCATAAACACCAAATCCCAGCGTGCATAGCGGAATATCAGTATGAGAAAAACGGCATCATCTGTCCTTTGACCCTCACATCGTACAAGGAAAAACTTCCAGAGAAAAACCCACAGTTAATATACACACATTCCTTCACATTTAAATTTAAATTTACATTAAAGTATTTCGTGAGGCCTTCTAACATGTTTTTAAATATAACTACGGTTGTAGTTGAAGAGTTTGTAAATTAACATGAACCGAAGCTGTTGCCTGTTGCAATATACAGTCTATGGTTGCTACAGAGGATTGTGGGTAATGTAATGTCTTCGGCCATCCAAAACTCATAGAAAACTACTTGTTTCTCAGAATTGAAGGGGAAAACGTGACAAAAGCATTGTACACACACTAAAACCTATAGTAGTTTAATTAACAAGGATAATCTGGTGTTTTTGAGTTGATGAGTAGTGGAGATATCACTGTCAAATCAATCGACAGTAAGGGGAATACTTACTTCCGGGTGTACAATTCTCCGTTATCCAATGGGAATGGACGCTCACATTGCCTTTAACAAACGCCGACACAAATGAATGCCGTGCTTCCATGAGCGTCAAATCCAGCCGCAGATGGGAATACATTGCAATCAGTTGAAAGCTATTTGCGTATGTTTATGAAGCTGAAGGAGCCTAGGAGCATCCCAACTGCACGCCTTGGGACCCTGACCAAGCGTCGCTCCTGGACGTTTATGGAGTGAGAGTGTGTTGCCTCGAACAGTATACAAGAGGTGATCCCAAAGACATTGTGAAAAACTGCCAGCATATGCCCCCCGACCGTGGTTTTCAAAGAGCCATGGACATGTTGGAAGACCGCTACGGCAACCCACTGAAAATTGCCACCGCTTTGATGGAAAAGGTGCTAAAATGGCCGCAAATAAAACCAGAGGACTCACAAGCACTCAACAAGTTTTCCCTATTCATTTTAAGTTGCAGAAACGCCCTGGAGGATGTGGATTACATGGAGGAGTTGGATAACCCTACAAATATGAGAGTTAT